ATCAAGCCCTGTGGTCTTAATGCCAATGTTCCTACAAAGTGTCTGCTTTATTTCTGCTGAATCTGATCTACGTTCATTAATCTGAAGTTTCATTATTCTCATTTTGCCCCTGATAAATACACAGCGCCAAATGTAAAAGAAAATGGGGCGATGCCTTTTTGAGCAGCTGCCGAGGAGCTCCCATCCTTTCTTCCAAGTAGAATATTGCAACCTAGTTGCTACTTATCTACAGCAGTTTGTCTTTAGCTGCAGTCTTCCACTCTGCCTGGGAGAAACAAGTAAATAAAGCCCATATTTCAAGCTTGATTTACTCTGATACCTACTGTGAAAGATTATGACTCTTTAGGGAAATAAAGACAGGGTCAGGGAATTAGTGTACATAATGGTCATTTTGATAATGGGCCAACAGATGCAACTGGAAACATACTGTACACAATTAAGCATAATGCACTAATGACAGGTTAGAGTTTTTATCGCCTCTTTGCGATCGAGCAGCAAATCCAAGTTTAGCAGTAATAAAGAGTTTATTGGTGCTAAAGCCAAAGATTTTCTGACAGAGGAAAGATTTTTCCTTTCATAACAAGAGTATTAAATCCTTTGTTTACTAGGCTCTAGAAAAGAGATATGCAAAGTGGTTGTCAGATATTTCTTAGGAAAAAGCCAATTAAATGGTAATAGAGTGAAGGATGAGAATTACCATCTGACTTCAAACGTCTTCCCTTCCCCTGCTCTCACTTGCCCCCACCCTGGAGCAGCATTGTGCCCCCATGGGCAGCTCCTGTTCCAGAGAACTTCAGAATCTAGGATAAGGATACAAACCTCAGGATTTTTACTCATGGAAGTAGAGCGAGCTTGTTGTATCTTAACAATTCTGTGCTTTGTATTGCAGTCGTATGTTATCTGGAGGCTTAATTGAACATGCAAACTGTGTACCTGAAACACAGACAGAAGTGAAACAGAATTATTTGTGCCAGCAAAGCTGACAGATTGCTGTGTCTTCTGTCCTTTTTAAGTCAGAAGCGGGGGAGGTCTCATCTAACAAAGGGGTGGAGGCTCTGCATAACTGTGCATTGGAGCTTTCTTCCTTAGCCGTGTCTGAGTGCTCATGTGTGGTCAGTGCCAGTTGTGGTTTAGGATGCTGAGATCAGGACATTCGTACCCAGTGCGTGAAGTAAAAAGAACGAAACATTTACTTCCGACTGAGAAATGAAATTTCTGTTTGGAGATACGCTTTAATAACGATGCTTCTATGGTTTGTAGTATGGCTTTATGCAACAAATATTTTTTTAGCCAAGCAGTATTTGAATCAAAGCAAACTGAAGGCACCAGTTGTACTCATAAGTGTTCAAGTGTTTTCTTGCTTGTTCAGTGTTGAAATTCAAGTACAGAAGTCTTTCTAGTCTATTTGCTACAACACCTCTTCTCAAAAAGGTTAAGAAGAGGTGAAAAGGATGAAAAGGCACTTGCAGGGTTTTAAAAATCTCCCATGGAAAAAAGATCTTTCATATCACAAAAAAAGTCTCCTGTAGGTTGTTATGTGCATAAGGTGGAGGCTTAAGAGCAGACACATTTGCAGATGAACTGCTTTTACTAGCTTCTCTGAGACATGACATTTGTTCAGAAGATTAGCCAGGTTGTAATGTGTAGCATAATTGCACTGTGCGGATGTCCCAGAAGTGAAAACCTAATTGCTTGACAGGACTATAACTTTGTGGTACGCTCTCACCTTGTTAGGTCCTTTTCTGATGCAGTTCAAATGAAGTCTGGCCGCAGGTGTGCCTAATTTACCTCGCAACAGAACGTGTTGAGTTTAATTGCACAGTGGTTGTTAGGAAAAATTGGTGGGTGGAATATCAAGTGACTTACTGTACGCGGATGGCAGATGGGCGGTGAGAGGCATTGTGAGCTAAGTGTATAGGTGAGGTGAGTTAATAAAAGATGTAAATTTTATCTTAAAATAGTGAAGTCTTGTGGTAGGCAATACATTTTAATTAAGGTGGTAGCAGTCCTTTTCTAGCCATGTGAAAAAATTGGAGGAGAGAAGCATCACAAAGGTTTTTTTCCACATCAGTATTTTAGGAACAGATTGGTATGCCTAGGAAGACTATTCTGCAAGCCTGCGTTTATTGCAAAGACAACACTTATGGATACAATACAAAGTGTAGCATGGAGAGGTAAATCTAGAAAGGCTTGCCTTCCTATTATAGAAACTGGGTTTGAGACACAGCCAAACTGAGCTCAAATCCAGCTGCTGATTTCTCAGTGTGTGGCAGAGCTCTTACCTCAAGTCTGCAAGCTTTGCTGAGAACTGTACCTGTTCTCTTCTGCAGGGATCATCCATTCCTGATTCTTGTTGGTCAGATGAGAAGAAAAATCAAGTCAGTTTTCTTTGCCCGAGCAGCATGAGAAATGCTCTGCCTGGGAACGTGATTTTTGACTTATGTTGTCTTCTCTGAAAATCTTGTCTCAGTGCCACCTGCGCTCCACAGATTTGCTGAAAACATGGATTGCAAAGAACAAAAAGGTCGTGGTATCAAGGGGTGCACAGAGCTGGGATGTGAATGCTGCTTGTGTTCACCCCAGTGTTGTGGCTTCAGTGCTTAGCTCAGTGCTCGGGTTCTTCATGGTAAAAACATCTAATTCCACCAAGTGTGTTTTGTTTTTCAACAAATAATTGAACAACTATGGGTTCCAGGTAATGTTTAGTGAAGGAATGCTTAATGATCCTTTTCGGACAGGATGTGAGCTCTCTGTATAGAAACAATTCATCTTGAATGCTTCAAGTTAAGAAAAAAATCCACTAGGCATAATATTGAGCATTTTCCATGCACAGCTCGTTTAAGAATTCCAGAGCAATTCACCAACATTAGCTCAGAAAGCTTCACAACATCCGAGATCAGAAAAAAAAGCTGAGATGTTCCTTGTCAGCATGGCTGTGGCACTGGGAGCAGTGAGGCCAAAGGGTCTCATGGCGTGCGGTGGGCACAGGGTAGGGCAGACTCAGCATCAAAGCTGCCTCCTAACAGGTATGGGAGAAATACCAGATATGGAACAGAAATGCTGTTGTGCTCAGGCAGTCCTCAGTTGATGAGTCGGTCTCCGGAACTCGCAAACTGTAAAAAATAATAAACAACCCAAGGCAGATAAAATTAGAATGAAAATGTGGCTAACACAAATGTAGTTTTATGGGACGCTTGAAACTCTTGGTGGCATTCCTGCAATGGTGTGCAGAAAACCTGAGTGCAAGGGAACCTCCAAGAGAGGAGATTCTGTCAGCCACAATGGAATTCCAGCTCTCATTCAGCTGAACAGCTGGAAATTGTTTGCAGATTTTGGGATAGCTGAATTGATGGCACTGACTTATCTATGCTCAATAGAAATGAAACTAGTCATCTCCCTTGTCTTGATATGGGAGATCACTCCTACAGCATTAGTAACCCATGTTGATATTAGGGTCCTTTTCAAGGTTTAACTTAAAAGGAAGAGCCATGACTGTAGGCAGCAGTTTGTAGGATGGGGCAGTCATTTGTGATGTTCCTGTCCAGACACCCCAAAGTTTTGCAGGACAGTGTGGTGTGGCACAACTGTTGGGAGATTTCTTCTCAACTCCAATAGGGCCGTATTGGGTACTGATGAAGGAAAGAATTTCTTGGCATACCTCCTGCCAGGAATATTATTTGCACATGAAAATTTCTGCAAAGTGTTTGTAGCTAAGATAGTCATTTGTACAGATTGGTGTGAATAAGTAATAATGGCTCGTAGACTAAATATAAAAGCTCTGCCTAACCTTGATATTCAAAATGAATAAAGTTGGACAGCACAAACTGATGGGGTGGTGCCTCTGAGAAACTCTGAATAAGGAGTCCTGAGCCTTTCTTGTTACTTGGTGCCAATCATGAGCCCGAAACCAAAACCCTTAGAGCTTTTAAATAATTACTATATGTGAAATCAGAACTCCATGAAAAGGGAAGAGGAGGTGCTAGGCTGTGGACATCCTCTGATGTCAGAAGAGGAATTAGAGACTTCCCGCAGTGTGGCTCAGCCCACCTGCACGCCTTAGCATGGAGACAAAATTGTTGCTTTCTTTTCAAAGTGATTTTTGAGAGTGACAAGTGAAGGAATGAGAGTGGAACCACCACCCCACAGCACGTACTCAGCAGCCTGTGCAGGAGTGCAGGGGGTCTGCACCCTTTCACGCTTTTCCCCTTCTCATAAGTGCTTGCTGTGCTCCCGTGAGGCAGTATTGCTACAGAATGGTTTGCTGGGAGATGCCTCAGTGGTACAGTTTAGTCCTAAATAATTGCTAATTGCCTCACAGCAAAAAATCAGCTGGGTTTCTGTGCACAGGTAGAGTTACTTTTTACAGCTAAAGGCTGGCACAGCTTGGAGAGGTCGTAAAGCAGGGTCTAATCCTCCACGTTCCTTACCTTTTAAAAAAACATGACTCAAACAGGGCCTTTCTTCGGGCCAGATCCATGGCTGAGCCTCACTGGAGTCAGCAGGATTGGACCGAGTCCCTTTGCATAGCTAGATCTGCCAAGCTAGAGGCAAAGCCAAGAGCTTTTTGGAAGACCGGTCCTTTGTTACCTTAGAATTTTTTGGGATAGAGGTCATTACTGCTAATGTAAGTTGTGAAAAAACAAAAAACATTAGAAAAAATAGAAACAAATTTTCATCTGATGTTAGTCACTGCCTTTGAAGTCAATGAATCATTGAAATCGACTTTCCCACACCAAGCTGAGATATGGCCCGGAGTCAATATTTGTAGTCAACTTGTAGTTGTTGAAAAATTAAAAATATGAATTTGCCTTTCCCTGGCAATAATGTTCTGTTTATGACAGAGGTCTAACTGTTTAAAATACATACATTGACTAATAAGAAAGTAGTAGTTTACTAGCTGTAGTCTTTTATGTATAACTATCATAAGATTGTATTAAGCTTTTTAAAATTGGATCTACAGTTTGATGAAACTAATAGATCTCAATTTTGTATTTCCATAGATTCTTTCTAAAGTTTTTCCTCAAGTGCAATCAGAACTGTTTGAAGAATGCAGGCAACCCACGAGACATGCGACGATTCCAGGTACAGATATCTCCTACAGATACCATATAGGATTTACTCGAAATTTCAAACTTCTTCAGCTCTTGTTTAATGAAATTCTAGTGTCAGTCTTCTACTTAGTGTAGTTTCAATGCTATGTATCCAAAATGCTATGGCTATTTTATAAATTCCCCACTAATTTGAATGCTTGTTTCTGGGACCTGGCCAGTTCTGCAGTGGGCTGTTATGGGTACCTTCTCAGAAAGCACAGTTTTCAACACCTCCATTGTAGTATGAACTGAGACTTGTGGAGATTTTACATATGTAAACCATGTAAACAGCTGTTAGAAATTCAGCTGCTGAACTTGGTGAAGTCTGGATCTAGTTTTTCCTTTCATGTTTACAACTTGTAAATCCAACAGCAGTGGTATCACACACATATTTTTATCTGAATTTTATTAGAAAATGCTTAATGCTTCACTTTCTCCTTACAGCTTTTGAATTATCTTGTGGTGAATGATAACACTACAGAAAGACATCTGATGTGGTGGACAAATTATTTCCTCAGTATTTAGGGTCACTTGAAATGCTTGCTAAGAAGTATACATGTTTTGTTTCAAAAGGATTTCCAAAAGGTTCATATTTGAGACTAATAATAAGCTAGTATTGAGATGTTCAAAACTTTCCTAGTTATGAGAAGAATAACTTGTGGTTAAACTTGATAGCAAAACATGTGACATCTGTTTTCATGCACAGCCAACCAACCGGTGAAGCCAGAACACTTGAGCCAGCCAACAGAAAAGATCTGTAGCTGGAAAAAATATTTCTTCAAAACAATTGAGCCAAGCTTCCATTTTTCATGCATCTCAGCTTCACGTGGCATTGGTGATATTGATCCATCTGAACAGAACAGAAGGTCAAACCCGGAATGAGTGGAAATGCCCTCTTTGTCTCACCGATGACTAAATGAAGCATCAGTCATGAGTGATCTTGTGGTCGACAATGGAACCAGTAGACACTAGAAAGACTTTCCTGGGTCTCTTTAGCTAATCTCCCTGCCTCTCAGAAGGTTTAACTGGACTTAACAGTATGTCAGATCTTGAACAAAATTTTTAACTGGTTTCACTGTCTCAGCACCTTTTTAGGTGTGTTGCAGGAAGAAGCCAATATAACAAAACACAGCATGTCTACTTTCTTTTGCTGAACTACAGTATTTTTCCCTTGGTGACTGACCTATATATACATGACAGAACAAAAATAGTTGTCATTTTTATATACACCTTTCCCTGTCTTCTTAATATACTGCGTTCTAGGAAACAAATCCAGAAGTCTTTGCTGAAATTCACACCTGTATGTTTTGCACTATTTTTTAAAGTCTGCAAATCTCATTACAAGTGAAAGCCGATAGCCCAGTGGCATGGCGGCAGCTCTGCGCTTCGGTGAGTGTGCAACCTCAGCACTCTCCAAAGTGGATGTCGACAGGAGGGAAAGTGTCCACTTCTGGGACGAGAAAGATAGGGGAGCAGAGCAGACTGGCAGAGAGCTGCCCTCGGGCTGTTCGAAAGGAGAACGCAGATGGCTGTCTCAGAGGAGGCAGAGTACACAGAAAAGGTGCTGTGATAGCTGAAAGCTAATTATGGGTTGTGAATAAGAAGCAGGATCAGAGGTGATCCAAAACGCAGAAACAGATAAGAATTGTCTTCTGATGCCTGAGACTAGTGCCGTGGAAATGGAGAATAGGTTTTTTTCCCCTCTTTTTTTGCTCATTATGTGCTTGGGTATGGGAGCTGGTGTGAGAACCCTGAAAATCATTTTTGCTATGTCCAAAAGTAAAATAAGCAGAAGGCAAAAGCTAAAATTTGTACTAGCCTTTGCCACCATCTCCCATGCTGTTGGTACGGCCTAACACAGCCTCACACGGCCACTGCCCACGAGAACTCTACTAATGCTAAGCCACAAAGAAAAAGCTACTGTGATTATTGCATTTAGCAAATCTGGAACCCGCACCATAGGGCCCATGCTGGCGCATTTAAATAAGATGTAAAAGTCGATCTGGGATAATAACAACCAACCTGTGAAGCTACGTCACACGCAACACACGCATGTCTCACAATTTCCTCTTTGGCTCGTGGTGGTGAAATATCATTTCCAGAATGAGTTTCACAAACCCATTGTGTAGGTGTTTTTATCGGGAAGGTTGTGTGTTTTGCATATGTTCCTCTTCCATTTTCTACTGAGAAGCAGCTGGAAGCCAAAGAAGGCCCTATCCATCATCTCTTCTATGGCCGGACTCTGAACCTGGGCACAAGAATAGGAGCCTTTCACTCAAAAATAAAGGAGGAAATTCCATTGACATACCAGGGTCAATCACCATCCAAATGAACTTGAGAAGGGATACTTTTCATGGATTGAAAACACTTTCACTATTCATATTCAACTCAGTCTTTTCAGATGCAAAAAAGTTCATTATCAGACATTAAATGTAATTGTAAAACTGACCTGGAGATCATTTACTGAAGAAAAAATGGGGAGTTACGATGGTTCCTGATTTATTAAGCTTTTTTTATTTGGAATCCTCACAACCCTTCATTTGAAGACAGTCTCAAGTGAACAAATTTTAATTAGATAAACTATCTAATCAATATATCAACAGATCAATCAAAACAGCAGCTTTTAAAATGAGTGGCTAGAGGGGTGTTTCTGAAACTAATGGCTAGAAGAATATTTCCCTGAATTGAATTCATTTGTTAGCATAATAGGAGATTAAACTCTAATTAGTGTAGCAGGTTCTGAAGAGAAACAATTGTGAGCTAAAAATCACCAATGTTAGCCACATAAACAAAGATGTATTCATAGTTGTCATTCACTTTGCTTCAAGTGAGAAGTAACAGATTGCGATGTTGTTTTGTCTCAGAAGATCTATTAATATATCCGAGTTCCTGAAAATATGCAGACTTCTTAAATTCCTTTTTATTCTTCCTTTTTAGGTTGTTGTATCAACAACAGTCAATGTGGATGGCCACGTTCTGGCTGTCTCAGACAACATGTTTGTACACAACAATTCCAAACATGGAAGGCGGGCTCGCCGCCTTGACCCCTCAGAAGGTACGGCTCCTTCTTATCTGGAAAATGGTAGGCACACATTTACATGTCTTTTTTTTTATTTGCAATGCTTTTTTTTTTTTTTTTTTTTTTTTTTTTTTTTTCACCATACTTTATGTTGATACACCATTACATTTATTTTTCCAGAATTTCTTCTTTCGTCAATCAAACCACTCATTAAAAAGTCCATTAGTATTTCTCAGCCCCTCTCAACCAGAATACGGTCACCGGTCACTTCTGAATCTGCTTCTGGCTCCTTTCTTTATTTAATACTTGCAGTTTTGCAGTCACAACCAATTTTTCTTTTTTTTCTGTTTTTTTTTTTTCCTTTTTTTTTTTTTTTTTTTTTTTTTGGTCTGGTTTTGCTTGCAGCTTTTTCTTGCTATTTAATTTGACTTGATTTTATTTTGGCTTGTCATATTCCTTGATCCAGAGGTACAGTCTCAGGTTATGTATGCAAGTTTAAGTGTATGGTAAAAACATGACCAAATCTGCAAAGAATTTACTGTGAGGTCAATTTCCTGTTGCTGGGCCTTACTGCTGCAGATTACAGCAGTGGCGTTTTTGTATGAGAAAAACAGCATAAAATGTTTTTCTTCAGACTGACTCAATGTGATTGACTTCTTGCCTGGACTGCTCAAAGAAGATAGGCTGAGATAAAGAAGAGATTGGGAAGTGTCTCTGAAAATCCAGTGTCTTTCTGGAGCCCACCTGCCTCTGAGCCACTCACACACCGTTGCAGCGGCGCTTGTGCGCTAGCACTCGTATCTCCGGGTACTTCCCTAGAAGTACAAAATAGTCGTTTAGATTCAGATATTGGTTTTCTCACTGCAAAGTACATCAGTGTATAGATACAAAACAGCTCTGAGGTGCTCTGGTTTTCATTAAAGTGAAATGCGTAGAGGTCAAATGCATTCTGAGTTCTCAAGGAGTTAGGATGGCCAGAGCCACTGGCACCGGAGCGCCCTGAGCGTGGCCACCCTGGGCATCCATTGCCACAGGGCTCCTCGTGTGAGCTGCTACTGCCACATTGATGGGATCGTGGCTTTTTACACTAATAAAATTAATTAAAGTAATAACGGAACGCTAAGCTGCTAATACAATCATTGCCATTTTATGTTGCAAATGATACTTACCAATGGGCATACAGAAAAAATGAATGTGGCAAGCAGTGATTGCCAGAACGAAATACAATCTAGACATCAAAAAAAGGAAAACAATTTGTGAATCTGCTGCAGTCCACACACACACAACTAATTTGTTTTTCTGCATTAATAACTAAGGTATAAGAGAACAAAAATATAATAATTAAAGGTCGCCCTGAGCACAAGAGTCATTATGGTCTATGACGTATTGTTTATCTCTTTCATATGCGCTGAAAGTAGGTGTGTGTTTTGCCTAGCAACCGTCACTAATGAGGTTCACAATTAAGAAGGTTGAATCCTTTCCTCTAGTCCTCCCCTTCCCTAGAGAGAGAGAACTAGCAACATTATAGGTTCAAGTAGGCATGCTCAGCCCTGTGGTGTTAGGTTTTAGTCTGGGTCCAAATTCATCCTCTTCTAATGAGCTATTATGATCTTTGCAAAATACAAGTATTTATTTTGGTAAGCTGTATAAGAAAGAATTTGACTCTAAGCAGAAAATATCGCTTAGAAAAATAAAGGCCGCTTGTACATAGTGCAGAAAATCCACACAAATTTCTCCAACCGGTGGCTCCTTTTTGAGAAATGGTAATTGATTCGCTTTATTTAAATGTTACAAATGCAGCACCAAATCCTCTCTGCCTAACCTCTCATAGACACTCATTCGTGCAAGGTGGACCGTTAAAAATGAACGTGAAAATCTGAGCACTCCTTTT